CTTTTTAAAGCTTTTAAAAAATATATTAAAGAATACAAAAAATATTTAATTTAAATATAAAAGGAAATTACAATAACAGAAAAAACTTTAAATTCATTCAAAAAGAAAAATTGGCTTTAGGAAATTTCTTGTCATACGTTTCAACAATGAATCTCTTATCAATGTCATTCAAAAACTTTGTTATTTCTACCAAAACCTTTCGAATATTACTGCGTAACATAATCTTTGAAAACTTGAGATTATTAATCTTTTGATAAATATGGTTAATCTCTTTACTAAATAACCAAAATATGACTTTATTCAACAATAAGAAATTTCACACCAATAATTCTAATTCATTTAATTCATTAATTATTTGTTTTCAATTCTTCATAGAAAAACAATATATTGTCAGGAAATTATTACTGATAGAATTAAGATTATTACTTATCACTTTCATTAAAGATTTAAGATTTTCAACTTCAAAATGTACAAGATACATTTTTTCGATACAAATATAGATAAACATACTTTTTATAATATTTTCAATTATTAATTTTAATATTTTTGATATAATTTTAATAATTTTTATCAATAGCAAATTATTAATTATTTATGTAAATATAAACAACAAATATTTTTTCAAACGATGTCATAAGATCAAAATGTCTTCTTATTGGGAATCCAAATTTCAATCATTCAAAATTATTTCAGAATGGAAAAAAATTATTATTCCTTTAAATCCTTCTCATAAATGAAAACATAAATTAAATGAATATAGAGATGTAAAAATTAATGATAAATCATATCTTGAAGTTAAAACACAAAAAGATAATATCACATTTTTAACCGATACAAAATATTTTGAACTTTTAAAAAATTATACTTGGAGCACATCAAAAGCTAAATATACTTATAATATCACAACTACAGATAATAATCATAAAACTATAACTTTTCATAAATTAATTAAACCAGAATTTAAATTTATTTCTCATATAAATCGAGATTGTCTTGATAATTGTGAATGTAATTTAAAAAATACTAATTATAGAGCAAGTGCTTTAAATAGTAAACTATATAAAAATAATACTAGTGGACTAAATGGAATTTATTATTTAAAATCTAAAAAAATTTGGTGTTTCGAATGGGAAATAAAAGGAATCAAATCAAGAAAACATTTTAAAACAAAACAAATAGCAATTGACTATAAATTAGAACATGATAAGATTACTGGAAATAAAATTGGTTATTCTATCGATATTGAATAAAATATTAGTAATTTATTATCAATCTTTTTTTTTTTATATAATATATTTTTAATTAATATTTTAACTTTTATTTATTAATATCACCAAATCAATATTCATGTAATACATGGCTGTATTTTAGAATCTTCTATCTTTTAATCTTTGTGAAACATTTTAAGATATTTCTTTTTATATCGTCATCGGATAAAAACGTATCTATATTTGGAAAATCTAGTTTTGTTATCTGAACATCAGATAAACTTTTTTATTTGTAATAATTTCAAAACATTAAAATTTTTGTGAATGTAGTACAAAACAAATCGTAATATAATTTTTTTTCTTTACAAAATTTTAATAAACATAATTTTAACAACTATGAATAAATACTAAAAAAATATATAAAAATGCTAAAGATTATTAATAAACTCTAAACAATTCAAAAAAAATATCTATTGTTTTTTCAAAATAACTTTTGTAAAGAAGCTTTTTAACAAAATTACTAAAAAATTTAACAAAAAAACCAACATCATTGAAAATTCATATTGGAATGATTATTCAACAAAGAAACAAAATGGAAAAATTATTCAACTTCATCGATTATCGATAAAGAAAAATCCTTTGAATGTCCCTTACCAACAATCGAAGAAGATGAACAATTCGAAATAAAAATTGAATATGAAATTTTTAAACTGAACAAAAATAATTATGAAATATTTATAAATTATGAATTATTCAAAAAATACTTATTTGAAAAAAACATTATTACATCAAATTTATATATTTCTAGAGATATGAAAGAAAAAAATTAATTAATCATTTATCATGTGCAGAATTTCATATTCGTTCACATTTTCACAACTGGGGAGAAGGATTAAAATATTATTTAATGAATAATTGTATGGATCTTTTAGAATTACGAACAAAAGAATATGATGAATTAATTAATTTTTGTTTAAAAGTTGTAAATAAAGAATGTGAAAAATATAATATAATGTATTTGTGGTCATGAAGTGATTTAGAAGATTATGCAGAAAATAATCTATTATATACAAATAATTATAAATAAATTTTATATACTATTATTAATTTGTTATCAGTTACCTTATATATTTTATATTTTTTATATCTAATAAATAAATCAAATCGATAATCAAATATATATATATTTTTAAATAATATAAATTTCTCATAGTTGTAATACAAAATAAACTTTAATAAATTTTATCCGAACTTTAATTTATATATAATTAAATACTAAAAAAAAATATAAATATAATAAAATTATTAATAAACCCTATTGATTCAAAAAAAAAAAAAAAAAAAAATATCAATTATTCTTAAAAAAACTAATCAAAATGTCTTTTGTAAAAAAAATACTTGAAAAATTTAACAAACCCCAAAATCATAAAATTATTCATAAAGAATATATTGACGAACAAAAAAAATATATTGACGATATACTTCAATATAATAACATTAAAGACAAAACACAACAAGAATATAATAATTGGGAAAATATTATACAAGATCTAGCATCTCCAAACTGGACAAGTGAAGAAACTTATAATGAAAATCAATCCATCTATTCGATCAACAGTAATAAAAAATCAGAATCTTCATTACAATTAATCGAAGAGAAAAATCAATCAACAAATTCTTATCAAAATTCATTTATAAACTTAAATGAACCTATTAATCTTGAAATTACATTAGTAATTTTATTAATTAGCTTATCATTTTTTTCAATAATCTTTGTTTGGATTTTTGGAATACTTCTTCTTTGGAGAATGAAATTCATAATTCGAAAATTAAAATTAGCTGATGATGATTATATTACAGAAATTAACCCATTTGAAATTATGTTTACTCAAAGACAAATTAATAATATATTTCAAATGGGTAATGATATTGAAAATACTATTGAAAATCTTGTTAATGGTAAAACAAAAATTGAAGATTTTCTAGTTATTCAAGTTTGTATCATTAATGATATATTCTTTTCTTCTGATAATCAAAGGCTTTACACATTTCAAGAAGCAATTCGTAAAGGTTTAAATATTAACAAAATTCCAGTAAAAATAAGACAAATAACAGACTTAAATATAAAATGGAAATTAGAAGGCTCATATAAAATAGTTCGTCATAATAATTTTAAAAATATTATTATTAGTCCATTCGCAAAGAATGGAAGAATTATTGACAAAAAAGGATATTAGGAATATAGAGAATAATTTTTTTATTTATATTTATTTATTAAATATTTCTTTTTTTTTTTTATAAATGATATCAATATTACATCATTATTTATTTATTTTTTTTTTTAATATTATTTATATATTTAAATAAAA